CATCTGAGGAAGCTCAATGAAGCTATAGTAGGAGTTTCGCGGAAGCCTCTGAAGTGCTGGCAAGTTCACGAAATGAAAATTGAAAAATATTTTTAAAATAAGGTTTCTATGAGGTAAATTCAACACTGATATTCAACAGATCGAATTATATTCATTTTATGATTAGTCCAAAATCTTAAACTACTTTCGCTATCCGTTGATCCAGCTGGCTCTGCATCAACGTTGTTCCAGTAACGCCATAGTACAGGTAGTTTCCATGAGAACCATCGCATTGCAGGCAAAATTTCGTGTTCTTCATAAGTAACTGACTTTTCTTTGGGTTCGTTCAGTTGCCCTTGATATTGCTGCTTTTGTTCCGTTTGATTGGGTGGATTAATTACAGGTAAATTCTGAAATTTTTAAACTACACTCATGTCGGATCTATATGCATATTGCAGCAATTTCTGAAACTATCGAATTTGTCAGCAGTGACGAATATCCTTGTATAAGTTCTATTTCCATGAAGTTATGGCAAAACTTGACCCTTCTCAGGAAATTGTCTTCTAACAGAACATTTACCAAGGAAACTGCATGAAATTCTTTGGGAAAAACATACTTTAGATAATTTTTCTCATTAGGAGTGTATTTTTAATCATTATTTTTCACCTTTCCTATATCTTTATTCTCATCGCAAATTGATCCGCGATCACTTAACTGATCCACTGATTTCGCCGTATGCAGTGACTCGTCTGAATCTCCTTTATCAGTCTGAGCCACTTCCCAAGAATCGTCAGACTCCCACCCATCATCTAGATCCGATCCAGCATACGAACTGGCAATCGAGCCAGCATATGAGCCAGCCAACGAGCCAGCATTAGAGCAGTTTGCCAATGATAGATGAGTTATGTCTGAGGCATTCGAACTCCTCGTATAAAAACCACTGAAATTACCGTGTTGCTTTAATTAATTGATTTTAATTAATTAATCGAGAAGGCTTCTGACTGAGGGTTACTTTGGGTCGAATCGGAAGTTGCTGTGGGGCTGCTTGATAGCATCATGCGCAGTTCTAGAGCACTTTAGTTCAGATATGGAATGCGTAAGGTCAATTAACATTTGAAGAAGATGTAAGAAGCGAGTGTTGATCTTATTTTATTTAAAATCTCAACTTATAAATTCAAGTCTAGTTTGAATCCAGTGTGTTTTTTGGTAATAGAATGGAAGTTTACAATGTGCGATACGATTGACTTCCTATCTGATTGTAAGTCAAATCATATGCATTTAGGAGGACAATTGAAAATGGAATAAATACTTTTACTATTGATAAGGAAATTTCAGACTACTTGAATCCTTTAAATTTAAACTGGAAATGTTAAAAATCACTCTATCTTAACGAATATTGCAATCACCTGATCACACTCGATGCCAATTCACTGGCTAATGAAACAGATTCAGAAACCGTGTCAATGGTATTCAAAATGGGATCCACCAAAGAATTCGTTAAACGGCTATCAATGCCGATTTCGACATTTGTGTCAATAGTGAACAATTGTGAATCTGATAGAGATCGTCGAATGGCTGCCTTATGAGTGGAAAACGATGAACTGGTCTTGATAAGTTGCCGCTGGGAATGACTCTTTCTTAAGACCGACTGAAATTTGACTTTTTTGGTATTGATATTAATATACAACAGTTTTGATCAGTGGCAACGTGAATGTATTTTGAAATTAAGTTGTTATGAAGTGAACTGAAGGTGAACGAATAAAGGATGATCTGTAAACATAAAGTGATCTGTGAGTAAGCATAAGATAATCTACAAGAGCTTTATAGAACTACTAATATGAAGAAATGCTCACATAATTCTCACGTTATCTAAGTGCACAATTCCAGAGGATTTTAGTGCAGGTATGGATAAGATCAATTAAAATTTGACGATAAGGAGATCCCAATATGGGTGAGCAGAGAAGAGGCATTAACATGGAATGGTGTTATAAAGCAGTGGTTCTCACGTTCATGTCGGGTGTTCCATTCCTCCTTTTGATGATCTGACAGGCCGCCGTTACCCCTCTGATACAAGAACTTATTGTTTCTACGTATAACGTCAGGAACAAACGGTATTCCGTTTATTCCTGACGTTCTTAGTGTTCATGAGATCGATTATGATTGCATGAAAAGCTATTGTCTGTGACACGTTCACTTCAAACTGATTCAAATGGATTCTCATTCTTTTCAGACGTGTTGTGTTCACTCTCACAGCTATCACATGCGAATACCGTTCTCTTCATGACTTTTTCTCATTCACTTCATATCATTTCACTTCATAGTTCGAATCGATTTCTTATTCTATAGCATTTACTATTCACTGGATACGTTGACGAGTGTTGACAGCTGAAGTCAACAATACAACAATCGAATATTATTGGTTAACAATGTTCGATAGTCAAATGATCAATAATAGAGTGTATCTGATAGAATGAGAATTTGACTTTAATTGTTGAGTGAAATGAATGAGAAATTAGCAGAAGACAACAATTCTGGTGATAAAAGTCATGAGAGCGATTATAACAGCATGGAAAAGAATGAAAACCCTGTTAAAACAAATGAAAATCCTGTTAGGCCCGGACGAACCAGAAAACTAACCGCATTTACATATCCGAGTTAAAAAACACCATCACAATGGCGTTCTATCATAAGTTAAGAACTGCACGAAATATTTATTTCCCGATCCCCTCCATCACCTCTTGACACCTCCAAATTACCCAAAATGGGTAGTTTCACCTCTATGAGAACCACTGCTATGAAGGGTCATTTGTCAGCAGTGAATTATGAGGCCGTATTTCGTTGAATATGAAATATTCTCGTCACTTTGTTGGAAGCACAACGTGTTTCTGATACGATTTGGAAAGGTGAAGCGATTATTCAAAGGTAAACTGTGACCAACCGACCATTCTTGGCTTCACGTTTACTTGAGGTCGTACCGTAACACCCCATCGTAGTAATCCAAGCGGATTTGGAATCGTGAAGTAATGCCAGAATGCCGAAAGTGTTAGCAACATAACGGCAACCTATTATAGAAGACTCATAAAATTGGTTTAATGCTTCAGATTGAGGTATCGAAGGATATCTCTTCGAATATGTCAAAACATGTCACCAATCTTCAACGAACTCAAAAAAATCTTTTCGTTGTCCCAGAATCTAATGCGAAAACCATATTATCACTCATTCTATGTGTGATCTCCATAGTTTATCAAAATGAAACAAATCTAGAGCGTGACATTCATAGTTTCAACATCAATAGTACTTGAACATATCATCAACATGCATGATAACAAATCTGATGAACTCTCAATGAAACTCCCAGAAGTTGACATTGTAAGATTAGTTCAGAAACTAACCTCAGTTCCTATTTTATGAAATGAGAACCTTGGAATTTGCAGATTACCATTTTTCAGAACATTTGACTTGATACCTTTTGTAAAAATGCAATGAAGTGGTTGTGTGATTGCGTGAAGTAGTTTCAAATGAAATACTGTGAAAACGATTAGTGCCCAAAGAGGGCGTACAATCGGCTTCGGAAGAAATTCATTCTAAATGAAGCAAAGATGTCATTTTCCACTTGAACTTAGCAGTAAATTCATTGCTGCACAATTTGATATCAGTTCGCCTGATGAAATGATTTGAAGTGCAGAAGGAAATAATAAGAACGACTGATTGTTATCGGTTTCTTGAATTCCTCAATCTTTGAGTTACTATCAGCTCTAGACTTACCAAACGTCTGATTGTGAGACGATTACTGCTCTCAAGTTACGATTACACTGTTGAGTGCCGTAATTCCCTATGAACATGAGTCTCTCGGAGGAAAAGAACTCCTCACTTCCAAGCAAAGCAATATCACAGTTTGTTTCAACAAGAACAGATAAACTTTTCCATTGTGATGTTGGTAGCATTTTAGGAGATCAGCAGCTCATCTGACATTACAAGTGAACTTCCTAACTAGGAGTTGCCGTTTCCGCTCGATAATATCATCGATCGGCACGCCACGATGACTTTCGAGGAATGCCCGAGCCTTTCCAATCCAACCGCTTCCAACTTTCACCATTTCTGCACTAATACCTCCTACCCTTACCGCAATTCAACCTTCAGCACATCACTTTCATCCACCCGAAATATTTTGACTTCTTTCATTTGGACTATGCAAATTTGCATGCACAGAAATTTACACGCTAAAACTGCTCAAGAAAATCATCACCAAACATTATTCAATTGAAATCTATAGAATCAAAAATCATAAGGATTTTTACTTTTCTTATGTAACAATTGAATATCTCTGAAGCCAAACTATTGCATAATTTATTTTGTTGCATAAACTTATCATAAATTTTGAATGAATAATTTCTCATGTTAAAGTGTCAAGTCAATGATATGCCAAATTTTATTTCGTTAAAAGAGATCGTACAAAAAACGAAAATTCTATTCGCTCATTCATTAGACATAACGACAAATAAAATTGCTGCAGAAGAACGAACGAAATCAATTGAAGAAATCAAATTCATTTCACTTCTATAAATTTTGTCCCCTTGCCTTCACCAAACAACAAAATCAGTTGTTGAGTTCACTAAAATGCTGCAAGAAATCGTTTTTCCCTTATTTTTCATAAATCACTCATTCTACTACCCATTAGCATATCTTTTTTGAGAGCTTTTTCTTTTCAGAACGGTTTCCACGAAAGATTCCATCGTATAATCATTAGAAAACACGAACCATTTGAACGAGAATCGGATAATAGTGGTATAAAAACATGACAACGTATAACAACGATAAACAATAAAATGAAACAACACACGCAAATGATGAACAACACAAATAACAATAATAATAACGCTCATTAGGCCTCATTAACCAATGCAGATCGAATATGGATGTTTTTTTCTGACTCAATCAACAAATCAACCAAAGAACTTGAATATAAAAATCGAAGTTCCAGATCCCCAGATCCGAATCGACCTCCCAGCTCAACGACGGAAACCACCCCGGCCACGTGGCCCACCACGTCCTCGACCACGACCTCGCGGTCCACCACGAGTGGCACCGGCACGAGCGCGTCCACCCCTTGTGGCCTTCTTTCTTGGTTCATCGTCTATTAGCAGTGTATCCAGAGGAATTGAGTCTGGTAATATGATGTACCGAATATTGTTACCTGAAGTGATCCTATTTTATTAAAAACAACATAGTTTACTGATCAAAATACAGAACATTTACAGCAATTTAACTGAGGAAAACGTAAATTTTGAAAGAAAATGAAGCGCATACAATTTATACATCAAATTTCTCATATGATACATGGCTAAACTCAGCACGATTCAATAGCAAAGCTTCAGAAGCCACCTCAAGGTTCGACTTTTCATTGAAAATGATTACAAATTAGTTAACTGTGACATGGAATGATTGAGAAAGGAAAACAGTGGAAGTATATCGTTGATGAACGATTGACAGATATGGAAACTTTCAATTTTCATGGCCAAACAGCCAATGAAATGTATCCACTTTACTGAAAACAATTCTAATAAGTCAAATCAATTTCTTTTAACATTGTTGAAATGAAGAACACAAAAATAAGAGTCCAAAGTGAACGGGAAACAAACCTCTAATAGAGAGTGTGTCCAGTTGAATTGGTTCTCGATTTTTAACGGTCATTTTAACGGCTCTCAAATGTGTGTTCATTGCAACATCCACACCCATAATGGTTCCAGTCACCAACGTGCTATTCTTCAGTTCGATGGTCACCGTTTCATGTGACAATTTCATCAAAAAACGAACCAATTTCATGTTGATTTTCCTCTCCTCTGAAATTCTACGATTAACGCACAAAAACTATATCCTCAATATTAAATTCGTACAATTTTATAAATCAAATTTGGAAATGTGAACAGTCTGAGAACGATGTACAACGTATTAGAACTTCCTAAAGGAATCACGATATGCTGGATAAGTCTCATAACATGCAAAATCTACGTAAATGAAGGAATGACTCAGAATTCCTGAAAAAATCGTAGAATTTGAATGAGCGAAATGATGAATGAGAGGAGTTTTGAACGCTTTTGATTTGCGAATGTAAAGTTCGTTGGACTGCGATCCGATTGAGTATCACTCTGTGACTCAAACGATGGCACTTACAACGCTTCAGCAAAACATTCATCAACTGCACATGCATCATTCAGATG